TATATATATATATATATATATATATATATATATATATTGTATATAAGGTATTATTCACCAGCGTTCTTAATCCAGAACCCCTTCCCACTGCCTGTCGTAACTCGCATCCCTCGTCAGACAAAAAGGTTCAAAGCGGAGGTGTCGCTGCCTTCAGACTGAAGGCGAGCACCGCAAAAATGACCGGATTCAGTTGGAATATGCGATAAGATTTGCATGTACTCGATTCATGATTTCATGTCAATGAAGCAGACGCTCCGTTCTTGCCAAGATTGCTAAACTAGACGACGTCAGGATTCTAGGGATATCCCAGGCCTCGCGGAAGGGAAGAACCAACGAAACTGGGGAATCATTCGGGCGGTGCTAATGATAGGCCGAAACACTTTCATGCAGCGGTTTGCTGCTCCTCGTGTTTGCATACCACAGCTGTTAATTAAATTAAAACGTGTGTTCAGATGAACATTTCTAATTCGTGCCGGGCAAACGAATGCTTTCCTTCGTCCGGCAGTTTGGGGTAAAACGCCACCATCGCGTCCTGGTGCCCGATGTAGACAGTATTGTACACTCTCCAGTACACCTCGCGCACCTGCGCAGAAGAACAAAAAACAAGAAATACACAAAGGCGAATAAATATAAGTCATCCGGCTACACGCACACTGACTTCAGCACACATCAGCAGGCATTTCTGCTCTGTCCAAAAACTGCAGCATGCAGCTCGCCACTAGCGCGGACGTCGCATATGTATGATACGATTTCTCGAGGACTGTGTCAATATGAACAAAATTGGCCCCCAGCTACACAACATATATGCAGCGGCATAATATATATGAATGCCTACCTTGCGCGCGGGGTGGAAAAGACCGAGGATGACGTATCGAAATACAACGCCAGGTCCGATGGCGACGCGCATGCCGTCAACGGCATCGAAAAATGCCTGAAAATATGCCAGAAAGAGCGAAACAATAAAAGCTGAAGTTTCCACCGGTATCAGCCTGACTGACCCAACGGCACCCCGCGAATCTCTCTCAGCAACGGGTCAACGAAGTGAGAAAGCTCACTTGAACCATATGTGCCGAAACTTCGAATATGTTTGGCCACACATAGTTAAACAAGTGAGTCAGCGCATCTTCGCAGCTCAGTCCGTGCACTCCTGAGGAAAGCACAGCAAACGCAACGAACCTGGTATGTTCCCTACCGTCATCACACGGAAGTACAGTTACAGATGACAGATGCAAGTTTGTTGCTACTGCTGCTAAAAGCTTCGAGTGCAAATGTGAGTAACAAAAACAA